TATAGTTAATGGAAATGAGTTTTTTCCCCCATATTCTAAGTTGTAGGATTAGCCATTTTCTAAAATGACTATGATGAAAAACATTTCACTAATTAATATTTTTAACCATTACTGTGATATCCTAATTGATTTAATCTATATATTGGTATTGTTGTATTTCTAGATTTTATCTTCCGTGGTAAAAATATTATATCTCATGGGCCTTATCCCTTATAATATCAGTGTCTATCGGAATTCGAACTTTGAAAATTATAGACGTTGTCTCCAGAACTTCTAGATTATAAACAAAATTTATTTTATTTTTCAGATTTTTTTTGTTTGTACCACTAATTTTATTCTACTTCTTCATTGTGAATATTGTATCATAATTAATATTCTAAGATTTCCACCTTAAGTTTAATGTTGAGCAACCAGATGCCATTTGCCAAGAAATGATTCAGCTTAAAAAGTTATTATATGTTTTATTTTATAAAAACCGGTTCCGGTACGAAACTAACAGCTTCGTGAATCGAGTTTACCAATACTCCGGTTTAGTGGTTAAGCCGAGAAAAAAAGCACAACTTGCTCATGAGCCGATGATCTCAAGCCAACAACGCCGTTGTGGAGAGAAAAGTCCTCGAGTTCTCACCATCTCTCTCTCTTTCGCTCTTCTTCTTCTGCAAATGGTTCCCTTCTTTCTTTCGAGCTGAATCTCACTTACTCCAACGTGAAATCAAAAATCCGAAATCTCTTGCGCACCAGATCGAAAAAAATCGGATCCGTTAAATCTCGATGGAGGAGGAGAAAGGAGCCGTTGCGCAGAGCTTAATCGACGTAGTGAACGAGATTTCCTCCGTCTCCGAGTACCGCACAACGGTGAAGAAGCTATGCAGTAATCTCGCGAGGAGGCTGAAGCTGCTCGTTCCGATGTTCGAGGAGATTAGAGAGAGTAACGAGCCGATCGATGACGATGCGTTGAAGACGTTGGTCTCGTTGAGAGAATCGATTTCCTCGGCTAAGGATTATCTCAGATTCTGTAGCCAAGGGAGTAAGATCTATCTGGTTCGTCTCTCTCATATTTATTTACTTAAGATTGGAATTAGATCTGTGCTGTGAGATTGTAGAAGCTGATTGATTGGTTATAGTTTGAGGAATTTGTTGAGCTCGTTAGATGTTAGATCTATGGAAGTTGTGGAAGGTTTATGATCTGATCAGAAGATTGATATGAGAGATCTTGTTGTTATGTTTGTAGGTGATGGAGAGGGAACAAGTGACGAGTAAATTGATGGAGATTTCAGTTCAATTAGAGGAATCTTTGAGCAAGATTCCTTACGAGGATCTTGACATCTCAGATGAAGTTAGAGAACAGGTAAGTAGTATAAACAGAGGAGATAGATCTTCAATATGTGCACATTTTGATGGAGTTTCTGTTTGTTTGTTTTGCAGGTTGAGTTAGTTCTCAGCCAGTTTCGGCGAGCGAAAGGGAGAGTTGATGCATCAGACGATGAGCTATACGAAGATCTTCATTCACTGTGCATCAAAAGCGGTGGTGACGATGATTATCAGCCTGCTCTGCAGCGGGTTGCGAAGAAGTTACATCTGATGGAGATTCCTGACCTAGCTCAGGAATCAGTGGCTCTCCACGAAATGGTTGCTTCGGGCGGTGGAGATGCAGGTGAAAGCATTGAGGAGATGGCGATGGTGTTGAAGATGATTAAGGATTTTGTGCAGATGGAGACTGACAACAGCGAGGACCAGAATGTTGGAGTGAACTCGAGTAGCAATGGACAAACTTCCACGGCTGTAAGTCATAAGATACCGGTGATTCCTGATGATTTCCGTTGTCCGATATCTCTGGAAATGATGAGAGATCCAGTTATTGTTTCAACAGGGCAGGTAAAAGTTCAGATTCTTCAAATTTATTTATGTACTCTCTTCAGGTTTAACTTGTCCTCCTTTGTATATAGACCTATGAACGCACCTGCATTGAGAAGTGGATAGAAGCTGGGCATTCGACATGTCCAAAAACACAACAGGCGCTAACAAGCACAACCCTTACACCCAACTATGTTCTCCGCAGTCTGATAGCTCAGTGGTGTGAGGCCAATGATATTGAGCCTCCAAAACCTCCCAGCAGTTTAAGGCCCAGGAAAGTATCGTCCTTCTCTTCCCCAGCAGAAGCAAACAAGATCGAAGATCTTATGTGGAGACTGGCTTACGGAAACCCTGAGGACCAACGATCTGCAGCTGGAGAAATCCGCCTCCTTGCAAAACGAAATGCAGACAACCGTGTGGCCATAGCCGAAGCTGGAGCCATACCTCTCCTCGTGGGCCTCCTGGCAACTCCTGATTCTCGTATCCAGGAACATTCGGTAACAGCTCTTTTGAACCTCTCCATATGTGAGAACAACAAAGGAGCCATTGTCTCTGCTGGAGCTATCCCTGGTATAGTTCAAGTGCTCAAGAAAGGAAGCATGGAGGCTAGAGAGAATGCAGCAGCCACGCTTTTCAGTCTTTCAGTGATTGACGAGAACAAAGTGACTATTGGTGCCTTGGGAGCAATCCCACCGCTCGTTGTACTACTTAAAGAAGGTACACAGAGAGGCAAGAAAGACGCGGCGACCGCGCTTTTCAACCTCTGCATATATCAAGGAAACAAAGGAAAGGCCATACGTGCAGGAGTGATCCCCACGTTGACTAGACTCTTGACAGAGCCAGGAAGCGGAATGGTCGATGAGGCGCTCGCGATTCTGGCGATTCTCTCTAGCCATTCCGAAGGGAAAGCGATCATAGGATCATCCGACGCGGTGCCGAGTCTAGTGGAGTTTATCAGAACTGGGTCTCCTAGAAACAGAGAGAACGCAGCTGCGGTTCTAGTCCACCTCTGTTCTAGTGACCCACAACATCTGGTCGAAGCACAGAAACTTGGCCTTATGGGTCCATTGATAGATTTAGCGGGGAACGGGACAGATAGAGGGAAAAGAAAAGCAGCCCAATTGCTTGAACGTATAAGCCGTCTAGCTGAACAGCAGAAGGAGACGGCAGCTCAGACACAAAACGAAGAAGAAGCTGAACCAACACATTCAGCATCCACCACAGAACCTGCTGATACTTAAAAAAAAAAAAAGAGTTGTTTTTGCTTTGGTCACTATTATTCCCCACTTTTTCTTTTCTTCTCTCCTACTCGGTCTTCCTTCCAGGTAGGCTCCAATGTAGACGGCAAAAAAAGCTGCTAATGGCCTCCTTGTCCGACATGTTTTAACTTTTATGGTGTGTTACCTCTGGGAGCAATCCGGTCCTGAGGAGAGAACAGCAAATATGCATACATACTCCTCAACTTGTATCATTGTAACATTTGAAATGTTTGTAATCAATTCCACCACCTTTTATTGGTTTTAAATTTTAATACAAGAAATGTGAATTTAATTAGAATAGGGTTCGGATCAGTGACTTCAAGAACAAATTTAAGACTGTTTAACCATTAAACCAGGCTAACATTTTCAAAGATATTCCCCTCTAATCAAAAATTATATCTTATGGCCTGAATCAATGTTTTCTTTGCTTTATAGAAGGGACGTGCCTGAGCATAACCTGTACATATGCATAGTTACGAGATTCTATTTTCTTTTGGACATATGCACAACCTTTCTGTAGAACCCACATAAAATATGTATATCTCCAATGTTTCCATTACAAAATTATCAGATAGAGCTTTCAAATTGGTTCAGTCAATTTGTATCCACTATTTGCTCACAAATCTCGCGCCAGCATTTTTCACTCGCAACATTGCCATAGCATAGGGAGATGAACTATGTTGAGAGAAAACATATGATTGTTATGCACATATAACACAATTATAACAAAGATGCCCTATTCATCCAGTAGCTCTGTTATGCAATTACAGATACATTTTTAATATTTTCTACGTTGTTCTTTGGGCAATTCTCTCGAATATATCTTTTTAAGTTTTAATCACAACAATAGACCTCAAAAACTAAAATGATCAAAATAGTATTTTTTATTTTGAAAATTTTAAATTTTTTAAAAAATTTGAAATTATATCCCAAAACTGTACTCTTCAACTCTAAACAAAAAGTTTAGGATTAGTTAAGCTAAATGGTATAAGTATATATTTACTTGTTTTTGATAAAACATTTAATTCTATTTGGATCATTTTTATTTTTGAGGTCTATATTTGTGACAATATTTTTCTCTTGTTGTTCTTTTCCATAAGATATAAATCATTTCAACCAAGTTATATCCATTTAAAATTATATGATATGTGAAATTTTGGAAAAAAAAATTCATAAGTCGTAACGTTATAACAACTTGTATGTAAACTTGAAGCCACACGAACTTTGTAACTCTTTTAATAAGTATAAACTAACAAATTTGATGAACAACCACACAATATTATTACTCAACTAAACACGTTCGTTGTAGTGTAGCCAACAACTGCATAAAATTGCAACGACTTTGGCCACAAACTGGTTACCCACCTGTCAGTGGCTGGCTACTGGCTACAATACTCATTGTTCTTCTTGTTTATTCTTTTTGTTTATGCCAGTGGTAGCCACGACATGGCTATGAAAATAACTCCAGAAGGTCCGTGGCTTATGCTTAAACCATATCAAATTGTTGTCTGGTTTTAAGATTTGACATGTTTCACATAATGATTCCAAGTCATCTCACAGTTTTTTTTTTTTTCTGACAACGAAAGAGATTCATATATAAAAGTGCCAAGCAAAACTACCTTAACGAAGAGGAAAGAGAGCCTTGACCTAGATTACCGTTTTTATATTATATATTATGTAAATTGGAACAATAAGCTGAGTTCTGATTCGAGAAACACAAGTTCTTTTTTTTTGTCTTAATGATCTTTATTAATCCAATTAAATAGGTATAAACCTTGGAGAGAAAGCTAAACATAAAGGAATTTTCAGCAACAAATCCAACAAATAAACCAAATAATTTATATAGTGGGAAATATGGGTGTTGTCGGGGTAGACGATAAACTTCGCCTAGGTCTGTTTGTGGTGTGCATGTGCGGCTTTGTAGTGTTGAGAGAGGTACGTTGAGCATTTGATCGCTGGATATCTATACATTAAAAACAATCAATAACATAAGACACTGCAATCAGTAAAAAGGTCGCAATGTAACAAGTTGAAAATCCTAAAGTCTTACTTGGGTTTATTGTTTTCCGATTGGCAGGTAGGAAGACACTCTATTATACAGTCGTGGCTCGGTTTTACGAAGAATGGAATCTGCGATGGGAACACTTTAAATTTGATTAACTAAAATGTGTTGTATAATTTTCCCAATCCATGTACGAACATGTTCAATAAAAACTAGATCTTGAAGAAACATCATCAATTAAATGTTGGCATGTGACTGAAATTTTTTCCCACTTTTAATCGAGTGACTTACTGAATATCGGTCCTGCCCATTCCCAAGTACCCGATGCAATGTCGATCTGTATGATATAAGAAAATATGAAAAAGTCATGTGTCCAAAAAACGTTAAGAAAATTAAGCTAAAATTATATATATTATACTTGAAAAAACCGTTACTCCAACGCTCCAACAAATTACCAAGATTCACAATAAAGGCTCTGTATAGAAGAAAAAAAAATCATATAACTCTGCCAAAACCAGAACATAAGATAATAGAATAGAAAAAATAGTAATAGGAGTCAAAGTAGCATGGACCCAAGAAAATAAAAGGTATCTCATTATAATACCCTTTAATCGATGGTACATATTCCCATTTTTGAGGCTCCAAGTCTTTATCCTTGCATATCTACAGTTAGATATATATTAGCAAGTTTACATAACTTGAACGGTCTCATCATCAGAAGTTATATGAGCCTAGCAAAAACTTTACCATACCTGAAGTCCCATTACATCATCAGTTGCTAAGAGAGACAACATTCCGAAATCACAATGTGCTCCGCATGCATATATTCCTTTTGAGGGATCAGACACCCCTGAAAAGGTAAAGAAAATAAAAATGATAATTAAAGTTAAAGAGGGTGAGTATAGATATATAGCACTAACTTTCAAAGCTAATGTGATTAGAGAACGCATCACCTTCATAGTGAAACAAGATCATATCTGCAATTGGATTTCCCAGCATCTCAGGTGTGTCAAAGTAATTCACGTCCAAGTCCAGTGCCAAAGCCATTATTCTCGCAATAGACTTACAAACCCTCCTGATCATGCAGAATGGCTCATTAATACTATACCGTTTGAAAAAATTCTCCATTAAGAGGCACACAGAAAAAATACAAGTCAACTTCTATATGTATTTTTTTTCTGGACAAATCAATTTCTATATTTCAAGAAGGGAAATATGGCCCTATGTAAAAAAAACGCCAATTTTATTATCTAACAAAAATCACACTCTATCCTCTTTTCTCTTCTGATCTCTCTCTACCTTCACTCTACAAAACAAATTTCTCTTTTTTTTTTGGTTATCTCAAAAATAACCCTTTTTAATCACTGAACCGTCCACTTTGTCATTATTTATTTTGAGTTGATTTTAACGTGTATATTCACAAATACTGACATGATGTTGGAGTTCGAAATATCAAATAATCATTTCGCTTTAAAATGATGTATATTTTGGTAACGGCACGAGTATGGCGGATCCACCGGATAAACCCTCATCTCCGGTGGGTAAGGGTATGTCTCCGAGGGAATCGCATGGATCTGAGTATGTGGAAAGGCAGGTTTTGGATCTTACGGGTCTAACCCAGAATCTGTCAAAGGTTTTGGGTATTGGGATATCTGAAGGCATTGAAAAGGGATCGGAAACTTTGATTGAAGACTTGGGTGAGAAGATTAACGATGATCAATCAAATCAGGAAGACAAAGATGCTCTAAATAAGGATGTGAGTTCGGGTGAATCAAAAGGATCGTGGGTGAGAGTTGTTCAAGGTCCGAAGGTTTTGCAGAAATACAATGTGGAGATTGAGATGGAAAATGGCATCGGATCAGTCAAGGTTCCAGAAGAGGTTGTTAAGGATGTTCCATTATGGGATGATTTTCTCATTGGTAAGTTCTTGGATGATGCTCCACATATAGGTAAAATTCATGCTATAGTCAACAAGATTTGGACTATAAATGACAAAGCTCAGAAGATAGAGGTGTTTGAGGTAAATGCCACTATGATGAAATTTAGGATTGTGAATCAGGATGATAGAAGAAGAGTTCTAAGAAGGGGAATGTGGAACCTGGCTGGAATACCAGTTGTTGTGACAAAATGGTCTCCGGTGATAGAGAAAGAGAAGCCTCCAGCTCAATCAATTCCTATGTGGGTGCACGTTAAGAATGTACCTATGAAGCTATTCTCGTGGCAAGGTCTAAGTTTTGTTACAAGTCCTATAGGCGTTCCAACAAGGCTGCACCCGGAGACTGCACAATGTTTAAACTTGGATGTGGCAAAGGTTTTTGTCAAAGTTGATTTGACAAAAGACTTACCGAAGAAGATGAACTTTAATATCCAAGGAGTGGATGTCTTGGTTGAATATATATACCCTTGGTTACCAACAAAATGTGAGAAGTGTGATAAATGGGGACACTCGGTAAAGTCTTGTAAGAAAGATCTGTGTGTTGAGCAAGGGATAGATGAGACACAAAAGGTTGAAGAAGGGATAAGTGAGGTAAATGATAAGGATACTGGGGTGGAAGAATCTAAGGATGATCTTGTAGTTGGGAATAATAAAGGAGAGGATTTGGAATCTCTAGTCAAGGATATGGATAAAAATGCAAATAGTTCTGTTCCAGATGGTAATTCTCTTGGTAATGGGAAACAGGTTGCAGGAAGTTCTAAAAAGAATAACGAGTGGTTATCGCCGGGGAAGGTGAGTCGAACGTCAAGCTCAAGACAGGAACTAGTATTCGGGCAAGTTTCTATCTATTCTAAATCTAGATTTGATGTTCTTTCTCCCGTTGAAGATGGAGAGTTGGAAGGAAAAATAAATGAGAAAGAAATACAGACTGAAGTTGTTGTTGGTGATTTTGAGGACAAGATTAATGAGAAAGAAAAGCAATTTGAGAGTGAAGAATCTGGTGAGGAGCTGGAAGATAAAGAAGAACATATAATTCCTAGACAACAATTGCCAAGAGACTCAAAGATAAACCATAGGTATCTGAGAGGTAAAGCGGTCCAGGCGACTCAGGATTTTGATCCTAGTAATCTGAAGAAGAAGAAGAAACCTTCTCGACGTCAATAATCATGTCTGGTTTCTACTGGAATGTTAGAGGCTTTAATAAACCTTCAAAACATCAGGTGGTTGCTAATTGGGTAAGAAGAAGTGGTTTTCAATTTGGTTGTCTAATAGAAACAAGAGTTAAAGAGGGAAAAGTTAAGCAGATTATGGAGACTGTTTTTCCTGGATGGTCTTATATCACGAATTATGAGTATAGTCGGCTTGGAAGATTGTGGATTATCTGGAGTCAAGGGGTGCGGGTTACTCCCTGTTTTAAAAGTGCTCAGATGGTTACTTGCTCTATTCTGATGGATGGTTTAAAGGATGAGTTTTTCTGTTCTTTTGTATACGGGTTTAATTTGGTGGAAGAGAGGAAGGAGCTTTGGAAGGATATCAAAGCTCATTATGATTCGCCAATTATAAGGAAATCTCCTTGGTTAGTTAAGGGTGATTTTAATGAGATTATCAATGGTGTGGAGCACTCGAGTTTAGATGCTTTTCATGATGCGTTGGGTATGCAAGACTTCCAAGATACGGTTAAATATTGTTCTCTCTTGGACATGGCTTATCAAGGCCCTTTGTTTACTTGGTGTAATAAAAGGGAAAATGGCATTATTTGCAAAAAGTTGGATCGTACCTTGATGAATGAGGTGTGGATGCTGAACTATCCTCAATCTTACTGTGTTTTTGAAGCTGGTGGCTGCTCGGACCATCAGAGATGCAGGGTTATTTTTAAATCTGATACTTTGAAGCCGAGGAAACCTTTCAAGTTTGTTAACGCTCTTGCGGAGATGCCTGAATTTTTTAATGTGGTCAGTGGGTTTTGGTCTAGTACAGAGCCTCTATTTACCTCAACTTCTGCTCTTTTCAGGCTTTCTAAGAAGTTAAAGGCTTTAAAACCGTATCTGAGAAAGTTGAGTAAGGAGAAGTTTGGTGATATATTCAAGAAGACTAAGGAAGCTTATAGTATTCTGTGTGAAGCTCAAACGAAAAACCTGGAGGCTCCTTCTCAGCGAAATATGATTGATGAATCTGTTGCGTATGAAAGATGGTTATTTCTTTCTAGTTTGGAGGAAAAGGTCATAAGTCAGCGTTCTAAGATCCATTGGCTAGAAGTTGGTGATGGTAATAACAAGAGTTTTCATAGAGCTGCCAAAGTTAGAGAAGTTAGAAACTCTATTAGAGAAATCAAAAGAGTAGATGGGTCTGTAGCGGATAGTCAGGAAGATATCAAAACTGAAGCAGTGGATTATTTTTTCAACTTTTTGACCCATGTTCCTACTGATCTCAGGGAGGTGGGTGTTGAGGAATTAAGAGTTTTACTGGATTATAAATGCTCTGATGCAGATAGGAATATGCTTACTGGTTTTGTTTCTGCCGAAGAAATTAGGAAAGTCTTATTCTCCATGGCTTCTGACAAGTCCCCTGGACCCGACGGTTACACCAGTGAGTTTTTTAAGGCTACATGGGATATTACTGGTGGAGATTTTATTATTGCAGTTCAATCTTTCTTTGAGAAGGGTTTTCTACCAAAAGGTATTAATTCGACGATCCTTGCTCTCATTCCAAAGAAATTTGATGCCATTTATATGAAAGACTATAGACCCATCTCTTGCTGTAATGTGATATACAAGGTTATTTCGAAAATATTGGCTAACCGTATGAAGAAGTTACTTCCTCTGTTTATCTCTCAGAATCAGTCTGCCTTTGTTAAAGATAGACTGCTTATGGAGAATGTCTTACTGGCTTCAGAATTAGTTAAGAGTTATCACAGTGAGTCTGTCACTGAAAGATGTGCTATTAAAGTGGATATCTCAAAGGCTTTTGATACTGTTCAGTGGTCTTTTGTTCTGAAGGTTCTTGAAGCGTTGTCTTTTCCGGAGAGTTTCATCTTATGGATTAAGAAGTGTATTGAATTGGCTTCTTTCTCTATTCAGATTAATGGAGAATTGGCTGGTTATTTTAACAGTAAGAGAGGTTTAAGGCAGGGATGTGCTCTCTCTCCTTACTTATTTGTGATTTGTATGCAGGTTTTATCAAAGCTCCTTGATAAAGCTGCAATGGCTAACCAGATTGGCTATCATCCGTATTGCAAGGACTTGAAGCTGACTCATATTTGTTTTGCTGATGACGTTCTTGTTTTTTCAGATGGTAAAAAGAGATCTATTGAGGGAATTTTGGCGGTTTTTCACGAGTTTGCTAAGATGTCTGGGTTAAACATTAGTCTGGAGAAGTCAACCCTCTATCTGGCTGGCGTTAAAGCAGATGATAGTGCTTCCATTTTGAGTCAATTCCCCTTTGAAGCTGGTTCTTTCCCGGTTAGATATTTGGGGCTCCCTCTGTTAACTAAAAAAATGTCTATTCGAGATTATAGCCCTCTTATTTCCCGTATTAGAAATCGGATTTGCACTTGGACAGCTAGGCATCTCACGTTTGCAGGCAGATTGCAACTTATTGGGTCAGTTATTTACAGCTTAACCAACTTTTGGATGTCTGCTTTTAAACTTCCGAGTCAGTGTATCAAGGAAATCAACAGTATATGTTCTGCTTTCCTTTGGTCGGGTCCGACTCTATCTTCTCAGAAAGCTAAAGTTGCTTGGATTGACTTGTGTAAGCCAAGAGATGAAGGCGGTTTAGGTCTGAGAAATCTGGCTGAAGTTAACAGAGTGTCCTGTTTAAAATTAGTATGGCGCATACTCTCCTCTGATTCCTCGCTTTGGGTAAAATGGGTCTGGAAGTATTTAATACGAAAGGGTTCCTTTTGGAGTATTAAGGAGAAGAGTAGCTTAGGGTCATGGATGTGGAAGAAGTTATTACATCTAAGGCCTCTTGCTTCACAGCTTACGAGGAAAGAGATCAACAATGGAGCTAATACTTCTTTTTGGTTTGAGAGATGGTCTCAGCTGGGCACTTTGATAGAGTTAACAGGTGAAAGAGGTTGTACTATTCTTGGTATTCCAATCAACTCTACAGTGGAAAGAGTTGTTGAAACTTACAGAGCAAGGAGACACAGATTTCCCATATATCAAAGTATTGAGCATGAGATTCTTGCTTTAAGAAGTCGTGGCCTTTATCAGCAGGATGACAACTGTCTATGGAAAAGAGAGAATGGTGACTTTAAGCTGGGTTTTCTCTCCTCTCAAACTTGGGAGCTTACTAGAGCTCATTCGACTAAAGTGGTTTGGCATAAAGGAATTTGGTTCCCGGAGGCTACTCCTAAATTCTCGTTTATTGCGTGGCTTGCTATTCTTGATAGATTAGCAACCGGAGATAGGATTCTTCGGTGGAATCCTCAAGCAATTTCTTCTTGTTGGTTGTGTAGTTCTGCTACTGAAACTAGAGACCACTTGTTTTTTGATTGTCAATATTCTAAAGATGTTTGGTGTGGCACCATAGGGAGCTTGGCGGGTGATAGACGGTTACATCAATGGTCTTGTGTGGTTCATGTTTTGGTGAATGGTCTTTCCAACAGAGACTCGACGTTCTTGCTGAGATACTGTTTTCAAGCAGTCATCTATGCTATATGGTATGAGAGAAATAAAAGGAGGGTTGGTGAAGCTTCTCAACCAGCTAATTCTTTGATTATAAAGCTCGACAAGTTGGTTAGGAATAGAATCTCTTCTTTGAGAAGGAAGTCTGGAAGGAAGTATGTTAAGTCTATGGGAGTTTGGTTTGGCAGTAAGTATTGAGGTGTGATCTGGTCTCTGTTGTTTCGGAGTATTTGGAGTGCATCTTCGGTTTTGTGGAGCTGTGGAGTTGTGGAGTGTTTGGTGGAAGCGAGTTTGTGGATCCTATTTTTTGGATAGCTCGAGTTTTCTTAGGCTCTTGGGGATATTGGGTTGTTTTGTTTTTTGTCTATTCTCTACACCTTCCTGCCATGAATTTATTACTCTTTTTCCTTGTCAAAGGTTTGTCCCATTTGGGTTTACTTTGACAAGGTTTTAATGAGGATAAATTTATGGCCTTGTTTTGACTTGTTTCATATGGTTAAACAAGAGTGAAGGTGTATTGTTTCATTTGGGTTTTGGGCTGTTTTTTGTCTTTAGTTTTTTATGTTCCTGTTTCTTTCTATGAATGTAGCACTCTATGTGCAAACAAGGTTTTTTTTGTTTGAATAAATTTAAAATTCTTTCAAAAAAAAAAAAGATGTATATTTTGGAGTGTTCAGAAAATTAATCAAAATATTAAATTTCAGCTATAAATGCATAATTTATGCGATTATATATTTATATAATTCTAAACCAATAACAATTAATTTTTGAATTTTTAAAATAATCATTGTTAGTTTATTAAAGTCCATTTAAAATATAAAAAATGTATTTTTAGAACTATTTTTTTGTGAAACATACATCTAATAGATGGATGGAGTAATTACTAAAACTTAATTTATTTTCATGACTAATCTATACACACAGCATATGTATAGCCCTACGATATTTACAAGGAGAATAAAGCAAAAAAATAGTGAAAAACATGTTTACTCAATTAAAAACTGAAGTAGCCTATGAAATTCATAGCGGTAAATGAAATTTATTCTATTAAAATAGAGTTATTCTTTTTATCTACTGATACAAGTTGTCATTTAAATTTGGACAATTTCTAGAATGTTACAAATAATATAAGTCGTATAATTGACTGAATTGTATTACTTAAATTAAACCAACACAATTAATGTAAAAAGACGACATTAATGTAAACTACCTTCAAAATATGGCAGATATCTATGTGTATACCGAAAACACATATTTTCTCCTACAAATATGGAATGTTCTAAAAGAATACATTATATATCATCAAAATATGGAAAATGGAAATCTACTATTATACTTAAATTAAACCAGTGGTTATTTATGGAATATAGTCTTGGGCTTACTTTTATTTTTTGAACAAATTATATAGTTTGGTTTTTGGGCTTAATATTAAGAAAAAACTCCAAAAAACATTGAATAAACTTTTCACCTTAAAAGATCAAAAAATCAATTATTATTTTCAGACCCAAAAGGTATTTAATATTTTTAACAAAAAAAATTATCTATTATTAATCATTTATTTAAATCATGTACTTTAAAACATGTTAGTATATTTTTTTTTCTTTTAAATAACAATCACTTTGTTTTGATAAATTTCAATTGTAACTTTTAAATAATTTATTATTTTATTTTTCTTAAATAATTTACTGATTAAAAAATGTAAAGCAAAACCAAAAACCAAATATAAAAACTAAAATCCAAAACCAAAAGCTGAAAACACATATTATATCTTTTTGCTTTGTTTATTTACAAAATAAACTATTTCAATTTTTTTTTTTAAATTTGTTTTCATCTTTTCAATTTTAAATTAGATGTTCGATTATTTGAGATATGTTTGTTGGTAATATCAGTTCAAACTAACTCAGCGGGTTTAAAAATTAAAAACCCAAACCAGAAACTGAAAATGAAAAGTAGAAACTTAAAAACTAAAAACCAAAATCTAAAAATAAAAAGTGAAACTAAAAACTAATGAAAAACAATCATCACCACAAATTTTGGTGAACTGATTTTATATCAAAATATTCTTTAAATTAAGACAAAACCCAATTATATAAAATTTTAATCATAAAAAATTTCCACGCTTTTCAAGCGCGGATCAAAATCTAGTTATACTTTAAAAGGGAGAGAGATGTCACATTCATTGGATATATAGTAGTAAAAACCTATTATCTATCATTGGGAATTAACCAAAAAAAAACTCTTATTTACGAATCTACAGAAAAGAAACGTCAAAACATGATTTCATTCAAATAAGGAACAAACATGAGGCTTACAATGCTTCTTGATAATATTTCTCCATGGTCTCCCGCCATCCGGGCAAAACATCTACCAAAGCTTCAGAGTTCAAAGAGTAAAATCATCAAAATAACAAACAAGTATATGACAAAAGCTAACCAGGGTTAGGCCAAATGTTGGGGCTGTATAATGCCTTATCACGATGGGAACCATCTTTGAGGCATTCAGTTCCAATGGTAAAACCCTCTTTGTAGTCCCCTAAAAACCCATGCATGAAGTTATAAAAAGAGGGAGAAACTAATTTAAACAATAATTTTAGAAAGAGCAAGTGAAAGCTGATCAGACAAACCTCGAACTTGATTTATAGGATCTAAGAGTTGATCACAGAGTGGCGCATAGCCTCGAAATTTTTCGTTTCTAAAGACCTTCATCTTTTCTTCTAAAGGCAGGGCGAAGAACTTCTTGCTCTGCTCGAAAGCCTGGTCGTTCAACTCCTCGCTTATACCATGATTTATGACATAGAAAAATCCACTATCCAAACATGCCTTGAGCAATATCACCCACAACGTATTAATGTTTTCGACATAATTTATAATGATCCGAATGTAAACATATTCGAGGCAAAAAAGTTAAAATACCTGTTTAAGCAAAACAGCTGATTGATGAAGATCAGTGTTTGCAAGATCAATGCAAGTAAGGGTTGAAACTTCGATGATCGAAGCTTCTTCCTGATTTTTATTTTCCATCTCTTTGCACTCTCTTTGTTGACTTTTTAAGGATACGAGGAAGACCGACTTTGTCAATTTGCTTTTCCCGTGTTGCCACGGTCATATATGTATATATATACATAAATCGTTTCCAAAGTTACATGTGCTCCACATTTAAAAAATTCAATTGGATTATTACTTAAATCGTGAAAACTTGGCCAAACAATCGGTTCCTTACGTCTGTTGGCCATCATTATCGTCACATATGGTACATACGGCATCTTTTTTTATGTGATTAATATAATTCCCTTGTTTCGTGAAATTAAGCTTTGTATAACCGATTTATAGTTGCATATAACATATCAAAGAACCTTTGGCATTCAAATTAGGTTCCTATACTCTATCTTAACTATCCAACGACTATGTAAATTAATGAAACGTATTAGCAATTTTTCTGATGTTGATTCTCCTAACTTATTAGCAATTTTTTTTTCACGAAATCTAATTGATATTAATGATCAAAGTAATCCTCTGCAAAGGCAGAACGTACAACAGTTGGAATAGCAGTATAAAAATGAAAATCTGTATTTCCAGGGATTTGCTTGTTTCACAATTTATTCTTCAATAGTATTAATTTGGATAATTCACTATTGAATAATATTTTTCATGTGAATACGAAACTTTATGATTCGGCATAAATCGTTTTCTATACAAGTTCCACACAAAAAATTAGATATATAGATATACAATTCTGGTATTTAGGGCATAGACAATTCACATTAATTAATGGTTTGCAAGGTCATTTCATGGTTAACATATGCCCCATCATTCCTCAGTTACCTAATTTCTCGTGTGAAATCATTTGTAAGTACATATTTTGCTTCTGGATAATTCTGGGATTGGTTTGTCCATCCACTATAAAAAAATCAACCATAAGGACTTATCTAGAATTTAAAGTATTATTTTAAAACAGGGTGGAAATATTGTAAGGTCCTAAGCAGTGCCGGTCCGGACTAATATGACGCCTAAAGCGAACTAAAAAATTATTTCCCCTAGCTAAATTTTTGTTTTTACTATAATTATCTTCAAAATTTTAAAACATTCTATGGCTATGATCATAAGATATAAAACATAACAAGACTGAAAGAAAAAATATATATTATAGAAAATAAGATACAACATATAAGATATAACAACATTAATTTTAGTTTTCTATTTTTAAAAAGTTATGTAAATCACCTTAAAGCTAATTTCATATTTTTGAGTTTTTTCATAGAAAACTTGCAAAAGATTAGAAAATAGTTTTTTAAAAAAGGATGAAAATAAATGTCAATTTCTAAGATAATGAAAATAATTAGCTTTGTTTGATTCCCTTATTTATTTTATAACTGTAATATCATTTACTATAATACATTTATAAAGGAATAAAGTTGCTTAAATAATCAATTGTTTTTTTGTTATAATCATTATCAAAAACGAAAAGTTTGTTATTGTTTACTTTTGTAACTTTATAATTTATATCATATAATTTAATACATATATAAAATAAATGTAAATTAATTAGAAGAGATCAAAAATACTTATGATCAAATCTTTTAGTTACTATTATTATTATTTGCAAAAAGGAAACAAAACTAATTAGGCTGTTTTTACCTTTTTAATTTATAACTTAATATCATTTACTATAATCCGTAAATAAAATAAAATTAAAGTTGTTAGAAAAGGTCTTAAAATCTTTGATTATTAAATATTTTTTATTTGTTACCATCATCTAGAAGAAAAATAAAATAAAAGGTACCAATTAAGATAGGGGAGATTCGAACATGGCACTTTCATGTAAAAGAACACTACGCCCAAGCCACTAGACTAAAGAAGTCATTTACAATTTTGGCGCCCCTAAAATATACATAAACTTGGCGCCTAAAGCCTTGGTTTTACGGGCTTTAGCTCTGGGCCGGCCCTGGTCCTAAGGGCAAGATTATCAGTGGGATTGGGAAAAGTCTCTTAAGTTCTGTTTTTTTTTTTGTCGCGTTTTATTAAGAGACAGCCCTTAAATAAGGGTTTTTCCCTCTTTTTCTCCCTCGGTCTCCGCGTTTTCATCTTAAGAGACTGAAAAAAGTCCCACTGATAATCTTTCCCTAAGAGCACCCACAACAAAGAGTTATTAAGGGAATCCTTCGAGAAATACTAATTATAATCAGTAGGGTCCATGAACAGTTAAGAATTTTATCTTTAAAAATCTTATTTAAGGATTGATCCTTACACTATTCGCGGGCTCCACTGTCCACGAGGCGACCCGCAAATGGTCAATTTTTTTTAAAGAAAAAATCCAAAATATCCTTATATAATCCGAAATAATCTTCTTCTTTTTTCCTAAGGATTCCCCCTAAGAACCCCTTGTTGTGGGTGCTCTAACCACCTATGCGTATGGACTTCCCACTCATTCAGTCTATGGGCTTCATTCTATGTGATGATCAATGCGTTAATTTAAGAGGGTTCGAATGTGTTTTTACTGACTCTTCATTTATCACATAACTAAATTTTGACCCACGCTTAAAAAACATAAATTTGTTTTTTTCATTTATTAATAAAACTAATTCAAAAATTGATCTATAAAAATGTTTGAGTTTAAGAAAAAAATTCATATTTGACTCAGACCCGTGGTTGAATCAGTAGATTCAATATCTTGTATATAATCCGGTTTAGATTTAATAAAAAAATCATTAATTAAAAAGATAAAATCCGGCCAAAACGCAAAAAAAAATCGTTATTAACCCGTGATGTAGTGCAACTGATCCAATAATAATAAAAAGTATCTGATAATACTTTTATTTTTATAGTTGCATTATTCATATATTTTTTAATATTGTATAAACGTGTGATTCCTTAGATTTTGATGAAACTTTTATAAAAATGATAATATAAAAAAACTTATTGACATGATACTATTAGTTTATTTTTATTATTAATAACCTATCATAATTGTACACTTTATTTTATATTAAAAATTTAATTTTGTGATAATTTTAAAATACTTTTAAACACTCGTAATTTTCATTTCAATTTTGATGTATAAAATGAAAAAAAAACAAACATTGTTTTTTATATTTTTATATATATTAATTTTTCATCGTTGTATAATATTATACGTAAAAAATAATATTCAGATATGTAAATGATTTATGGTGTAGGACATAGAGTTTTGGTTTGTAATGCATAATAATATTTGAATGATCTATTTTGAATGTTGATACATAGGTTTAATAAAATAATATTTTGATGTTATTATGTTTATTTTCATAAATATTTATTTCCCATGATTTTACTCCAGATTATCTAACAAATGAACAACAATGATCGATTGTACTTAATAAATAATTGTATGAGACTAATATTAGGTGTGTGTTAAAAAATATTAGTTGAATATAATATACATATAGTGGAGTCCAAGTTATGAATAACTGTTTGTACATGAATAAATTACTGTTTGATTAATGTATATAATATAAATCGGTTTGAATTCAGGGTCACGGAAAGTATTAATACACGTTATATTAGGATAAGATGATGACCATAAATTATATGTTTAATTTAATAACTAATAGGTCCAGTAATTAAAAGGTAAGTGAGTGAAATATGAATTAAAATCTATTAGCATTAATTAAAGGGAAAATTCCTTAAAAATACACCAACTGAGTTTCTTTTGCTAAAAAAATACACCAACTTTTTAGACTTCCCGAAAAATACACAGAGTAATTTTGGTTGTCCACAAAATACATGAACTTTTGAATTTTGAAGGTTTCACACCTCGATTTTAACGGCGTTAATTCTGATTAACAGAACATTTAGACGCCGTTAGACGGCGTTAACTCTGATTCAAAAGTTCATGTATTTTGTGGACAACCAAAATTACTCTGTGTATTTTTCGGGAAACCAAAAAAGTTCGTGTATTTTTTCAGCAAAGAAAATTTAGTATGTGTATTTTTAAGGAATTTTCAAAAATATACTAAGGTGACAAAGACATTGTTTTTTTTTGTTTGACTGAAAAATGTAATTTTTGAATATATTTTGTTCATATTGAAGCCGGTTTTTCTAGGGTCGGTTCGGATCTATAATTAAAATATGTGTAAAATATCGGTAATTTTTGGATATGTATCATGTAATAGAGAATGTATTTTTGTTTGGGCCGGTTCTTTTCGGATCTATATATACGGATCTAACAACCGGCCCAAACCCGATCCAGAGACCTGAACAAAAACACATTCTCTTCCACATGATACATATCCAAAAATTACCGATATTTTCCATGTATTTTAATTATAGATCCGAACTGATCCTAGAAAAACCGGTTTCAATATGAACAAAATGAACAAAATATAAAGAAGCCAAAAAACACATTATTCATATTAATACACACATTGTTCAAAATATATTAAAATATGTGAGTATTAATATTGACAATGTGTTTTTTTTGGCTTCTTTATATTTTGTTCATTTTGTTCATATTGAGGCCGGTTTTCTAGGATCAGTTCGGATCTATAATTAAAATACGTGGAAAATATCAGTAATTTTTCGATATGTATCATGTGGAAGAGAATGTGTTTTTGTTCAGGTCTTTGGGTCGGGTTTGGGCCGGTTCTTAGATCCGGATATCTTAGATCCGAAAATAACCGGCCCAAACCCGACCCAAAGACCCAAACAAAAACACATTCTCTATTACATGATACATATCCAAAATTTACCGGTATTTTACACGTATTTTAATTATAGATCCGAACCGACCCTACAAAAACCGGCCTCAATATGAACAAAATATATTCAAAAATTAAATTTTTCAGTCAAACAAAAAAAAACAATGTCTTTGCCACCTTAGTATATTTCTGAAAATTCCTTAAAAATACATATACTAAATTTTCTTTACTGAAAAAATATATGAACTTTTTTGGTTTCCCGAAAAATACACAGACTAATTTTGGTTATCCACAAAATACATGAACTTTTGAATTAGAGTTAACGTCGTCTAACGGCGTCTAAATGTT